AAAAAAAAAAAAAATCACACAACAGAAGGTGTATTCAGATAAATCCCCTTCCTCCCTCCTCTCTACATATAAGAGCCTTTCATGGGGGGTGGGCTCCACATGGGGAGGGTTTCAAAGGTGCAAGTCTTTAGCCCAAGGAGCAGCTGCGCTGACAGGTGAAGGGTCAGGGTCCCTGGTACACCCCCAAGGGTCAAGAGGGGAGGCAGCTGAGGGAAGCATCTTTAGGATGTGAAAGTGGGCACGTTTAGTTATAACGGCAGGGGGGGCCATCAGTCAAGGTTTTTTTTTTTTTCTCTCTAGCCTCCAGACCTTAAACTCAGTCACATACCTATGCAAATAGGTCTTATCTTCAAACTATATTCCTTTGTTTAGACAGGGGCCCAAAGAATTCCAGGCCTAGGCAGTCCCAGGTTTTGCTATTGCTTGCCAACAAGAAAGTCCTCAGATATCTGTCAATCTCACCACACTTTTCCACTTTCCTTTTCAATTAAACCTCTTGTATGATTGCCTCAGCTCCTCCTCTGAGAACACTCGAGAGAGCTGGAAATAGTTTAATTACTTTTGTCTCCAAAAGAATTAGGAATACAGCTGAGAAAAAGGACCTAAAAGGTTTATGTCACTCAATATATTTCACTTCAATCACGCTATATGACATCGTGCGGGAAAGAACTCCAAAATAAAAATGGAAGTAAAGACCCTTCGCTAACCCTTCAGAGCTCCCAGTCAGATTTCTTCCCCAACTCTGCAACCCAGTCTTGGCCCTGTAAGTATTCTTTAAGACGGCACGAGCCTGACAGAGAATATTACCTCTACTCTGGAACAGACTCAATTGAAAAAGTAAACTGCGTCAGAGCTGACTATTCTCAGAACATCTATAAAGTTAGCCCTACTTGCCTGCTTGTTCACAATATCTGGCTGAAGGTGTATTTCCAGAAGGACTCTCCCAGTGGACCGAGGTGAAAAACGCTGGAAACAAGATGGCAGCCAACCCCAAGGAATGCTGGGTAGATGCTCTATCTCATCCCCCTCGAGGGGTGTGCCGTGGACCACACGGGCTCCGATACCCCACCCCCAACTACACCGTCCATCCCTTCTCTTGTTGGGATACTTTAAAAAGAACAACGAGGCTTTTCAGTAATGGTACACGACCAGAAGGTAGTGTTACTACATGATGTGGTTTAATGTGGGCATATTCCTTGGCTTGAGAATCCAAGAATGTGCTGTTGTCCTCCATGGACTCTATGCATTAAAAGACATACACAGGACGCTTCCTTTAAAATGAAGGCACTTGGTCACACCTCCACCTAATGCCACTGCTGCTCGGGTGTGTTCCAA